CGTGCCGCGTGCGCGTTCGCGTGCGCGTGCGCGTGCGCGTGCGCGTGCGCGTGCGCGTGCGCGTGCGCGTGCGTGTGCGTGTGCGTGTGCGTGCGCGTGCGCGTGCGCGTGCGTGCGTGCGTGCGCGCGCGTGTGTGTGTGTGTGTGTGCTGCTCCACTGGCCTTGCAGCTTCAGACCGCCTTGGGGAAGCTTTCGAGAGCCCCCAAAGGCCCCAAGACTGCCCGAAAACTCTCCCGGGCGGCCCATGGCGCACGAAGGGGCACCCAGCGAGATGCTCAGACGAAACAGCGACGAAATCCCACCAGCCCTCTGGGAGCGAGTTTTTTTTGGGGAGTTTCCTCTTCCAGCCCCTCTTCTTCCCCTTCGGGGTTTGTCCACTTGAAGGGGCCTGGTGATACAGATAACTGCAAACAACTAAAAGGATCCCCCGTAGTTTCCCATAAGTTCTGGGTTTCTGTCTTCCCCCCACTGCCCATAGTTTCCTATATGTTCTGGGGAATCGGCAATTAATGGTGTCTGTTTTTTTTCCCCCTCCTGACCACTTCCCTACCCCCTCACCTGGGCCCTGACGGAAGGGGTCGCGATCGGTCAGCAAGCCCAAGATGGCCCAAGATGGCTCCGAGAGGGCCTCAGAGAGCGCAAGATGACCTGCAATATGGCTCAAGATGGCTTACAACATGCTCCACGAGGCCTCAAGACTGCCCCAGGACGGCTCAGAGTGGCCACGGAGCCTCCCAAGGAATCCACCCCGATGCCAACATCCTTTCAACACCGAAGGAACGTACGTGCTGTTGCCCTCTCGCTGTTTGCTGTGGATGGCTTCCCGAGGCCGCAAGATGGCTCGAAGAAGGCCCAAGAGGAGCCCAGGACGAGCCCATGAGGGTCCCACGACGGCTCCAGGGTTGGCCCAAGAGCGCCCTGGAGGGCCCCGAGGGGCGAGTCTTGGGGCTCTTGCGGGGCAGTGCTAATCGATGTTCTCCCCGATGGCCCCAAGATGGCCCTTAAGGATCCCAAGAGGCCCCCAAGACACTTCCAATGGAATCCCGAGAGGCCCAAAGAGGCTCGCCCAAATCACCCACGACGTCCCAAGAGGCCCCCGGGACCGCCAGGAGGTCCCCAAGACGCCCCAAGAGGACGCCATGAAGCTCGTCCGAGGAGATTCCGAGAGGCATTCGAGAGGAATCTGGCATGTCTGCTCGCCCTCCTCCCCCTCCTCTTCCTCAACCGCCCGTCCTCCTCCTCCTCCTCCTCCTCCTCCTCCTCCTCCTCCTCCTCCCTCCTCCCCCCTCCCTCCTCCCCCTGCCCCTCCTCCTCCTCCGATTCCTTCTCCATCCTCCCCCTCTTGGGTTCTGGCGGCTTCCCCAGCCCCTCATTCCACTGCCTGCTCCCCCCCCGTCCCTAATCCGGGCAATTCGCCCCATCATCGTTCCTGGGTGGGCTGGTGGGTTACGCGAAGCGGCTAGAATACGTGACGTCCGTGCGGTTTGCTCTCGAGGCCCTTCGGCTTCAGATCGCATGGGGAAAGCTTCCGAGCGCCGCCAGGATGCCCCCGAGACGGTCCGCAACTGCCGCACGAGGGCCCCAGGCCTGCCCAAGACCAGCCCTCCAAGGGGCCCCGTGACGGCTCCAAGACGAAGGAAACGAGGCCGGGTTCGAGATCCTTGCGAATTCACGCCGCGCGCCGAACTGGCGTGGTGCTTGAACTCACCGTCAGGCCGTCAGAAGACGAGTGTCCAACGACTACACGATCTATCTCCCCAATAGGCCTCCCTGAGACGCATTAAGAGGCACCCAGCAAGGCGCTCAGAGGAGAAACGCTGAAAAGCATGACATAAATAAAGAAGCCCCCGAGACGGTCCACGACTGCCCAAAGCGAGCCCCAAATGTGCCCGAGAACCCTCCAATACGGCCCATGAGGAGTCCTTGACGGTTCCAAGACCAATAGGAGCTGTCCAGTTTGAGACCCTTGCGAGTCCAGACTGCGCGCTTATCTGGCGTGAGTTTATACACACCACACTTACCTTCACGAAGCGCTGCTGCGCTGGAACGGCGGCTGGGCTCGACGCAGGCAGCTGGATATCTGCAAGCATCGCCCGCTTCCTGCTGCCGTTTGCTGGCAGCGAGGGAAGCAACAGCAGAAAAGAAACGGATGCACGATCAGAAACAAACTACTGCAAATCTATATCCGATCCGTCAAGGGGTTCGGAATGCGTCGGATCTGCTCGGCTCGACGCAAGGGTGCCCTTTGCCAAGGGTGGAGTTGGCTGCGCTGCCTTCTTGGGGGGGCGAGGGAGGGGGCGCCCCCCCCACCCCCAGAAGCAGCCCCTCTGGGCCCCTTCGGTTGTGCTGGAGGGGCGCCCCCCATGCCCCAGCGTTAAGTCGGGCATGTCCCCCTACAGGCGGACTTTGAACGAGAAATAAGACATAGTCAAACAAATGCCCCCAGAATGTTGAAAAACAGTCAACGAATCGTCCCCAGACTCTTGTTTTACTATTCTTGAATCTATGCCCCCTGTAGAGGGACAGGCCCGGCTTAACCCCAGCGTGAAGTGGCACCTCGGCGAAGGTGCACCCTTCCGCCTCGCCGATCTCCGCACTCAGACGCAGCCACACCGCCGGCACCCCGCGGCTCTCCGGCTCCGTCCAGGGGCGCACGTCCATGGCGGCAAAGCGCAGGCCCACGCCCGCGAGGTCTACCTTAGAGGAAGAAAAAAAACACGCCATAGACATAAACTTTTTGGCGCTCCGCGCGGATTTCTTGGATCCGCGCTGAATCCCCCCCCTCCCTGGCGCGCGGAGCGCGCCAGGGGCGGCGCCGGAGGCGCCGCCAGGAGAGTCCCAGCGCGGATCCAAGAAACCCGCGCGGAGTGCCAAAAATTTATGTTCATGGCGCTTTTTCTTCTTCGACGCCTGCAACCCTCGGAAGAAGCCCGTGAGGGCTTCGCCCACCCGCTCCGCCTCGCCGTCAGCAGCGCCGGCCGCTGTGCCGACGGAGGGGGCCAGGTCGATGACGCGGACGGTCACGGCAGCGCCCGGGGGCGGCCCGGCTTCCAAGGCCGCCAGCACCCTGCGGCGCCCCAGGCGACCTCCAAACGCCACCCTCTTGCGTTAAGTCGGGCGTGTCCCTCTACAGGGGGATTTTTGACGAAAAATAAAAAATACGCAAACAAGATTCCAAATGAACCAAAAATACTCAAAAAAAGTCCCCACACTGTTGTTTTACTCTTTTTGACGATTCCCCCTGTATAGGGACAGGCCCGACTTAACTCTTGCGCGCCACGTCGATGCTGACGCCCTCACCCGAGAAGACAAACCTCTCGCCCAGGATGGCAGGGACGGTGTCGGTGACAGGCCTGTAGAGCACGGTCTCCCCGGGGGCCGTAGGCGAGGAGGAGGAGGAGGAGGAGGAGGAGGAGGAGGAGGAGGAGGAGGGGTCGCCTAAGCCCTTCGGAGAACCCTCTAGCCTGTAGAGCAGGAAGTTGCCGAAATCGGCTGCGCTGAAGACGGCCTCTGCCCACCCGTACGCTGGTGCCGTCAGCGCGATGCGCCCCGCCAGCACCTCCAGGTAGCTCAGGGCAGCTCCGTCGGGCGCCGAGACGGTCAGACGCCGTGCCGTCAGGCCCGCGCGGCTGTGCCAGTCGAGGCCTGACAGCTGCACAGCCTCGACACGGCCCTGCACCAACCTCACGCCCTCGCTGCGGACCACGGCGCTGACGCCCCGGTGCCGCCGGAGGTGCATGGGCACCACGAGCTCCAGCAGCCGCGACACGGCCCTGCCGCTGCCGTCCCCGGAGCCACCGGAGACGTCGAGCGACTGCCAAGGCTCTGGTCGGCGACTCCGAAGGGAGTGGCTTCCAACAAACGGGTGTGGCTTGCAACGCGCACCCTTGGGGGCGGGCCAGGACGTCGCCCGAGTTCTCCGCTGCGCCCCGAGCGCGACGTGGTAACCCCCGGGGCCCCAACGACGCAGCTCGCAAGCCTTAGGTCGGGTATGTCCCCCTACAGGGGGATTCTGGACGAAAGATTGAAAATATGCAAAAAATGCATATTCAAGAAATGCTCAAAAGTACACCCAACAACAGATATTCGGAAAATCGTCCCCAGACTATTTTGAACTAACTACGAGATTCCCCCTGTAAAGAGAAGGGCACGCCCGACATAACGCAGGCCACACCCCGGCGCAACCGCACCCTTCGTGGTCGCCGCTCTGGGGCGCCCCCCGGCCGCGCCGCCGCCCGCGCGCCCGCCGCACGGCCCCGAGCCAGGGAAATCAAGAGGCACCGATATCCGCTGCAGTCATGGGCCCGACCTAAGGAACGATACATAAGGAACAAAGCTTACGTGGTTCCCATCGCACTTCCGGATCAGATCCCAGAGATGATTTCGGCCACCCAAGAACATGTCGAAGCAGTGTCGAACGAGTGCCGCCTCCCGGGGCTCGACACGTGAAAACCCTACAGTTTCGGCACTTTCTTGGTGCTCGAAATTCGTTCTGGTGGTCAAGGCTAAAGTAGGTTGGAGCATCAGAAAACCAAGCCCCCATTCCATGCATAAGGAACGATTGATAATACATACCGTGCGAGGAAGGATACATAACGCATGCGAGCCTAAGGAAAGACCGAGCCCCTTTTGAAAAAGCAAGCGTCCCTGACTCAAACCACTCACTGTATGCTCCACGGACCTCTCCTGGGGTGCGTTCGGACCCGGATCTCGAGGCGGAGCCAGCGGTGGCGACGAGGGTCTCCAGGGAGAGGCCCGACAAGAGGGGGGAAGCGAGGTCAGCATCGTGAATCCGATCCCTCTCCCCACGGGCGTGGCCTGGGCCCCACTGGCCGATTTACCCCCCTAGATGGGGATAGAGGCCGTTCCCTTCGGGTCTCGAGGAGTGTATCCCCAACGGGCGGGGGAATCTGGCGGGGGTCTCGAAGGGGATGGGGATGGGGATGGGGGTCGGTTAGACGATACTGACGAGCCAGACATGCGACGTCCTGATTTTTTTCAGGACGGCATCTCTGGAAGCCCCGACCCTTTCCCCGGGACCGGTTTCTCGTCCTGAGTCGTTTTCTGACGGTCCGGAGGCCCGGCGAGGGCCCCAAGGGCCCAAGGGGCCGAAAACAGCCCAAAACCTCCTGTCCTGATTTTTTTTACGACGCGATCAGCAGGGACCGACCGTCCCAGCATTCCTATAGGCCTACCACGAAATGCCCTTACTTAGAACCCCGAGATGTCCTAAGAACGAAAGCCATGTTCTTAGAGCGTAGGCCCGATGCGTTACAACAAGGCAGTCCCAGCCAGGAACGTTCTAAGAACACGTCGTGCAGACCACGAAAAGGTTCTCGGAACATTGCCTGGTGGGCCTGTAGGCGAGCCAGGACGCTTCGCCACTGCTTGGGTATGGGTACCTCCTCCTCCTCTGCCAAAACGCGCCCGGGCCGGCCAGGCCGCAGCCGCGGGGGCCGCGGCTGCCGCGGGCGAGGGCGGCGGCGCCCGCGGCGCAGGCCGCCCTTCGCCGCCGTCGGCGTCTTCGTCTTCGTCGTCGTCTTCGCTCTCGTCGTCGAGAGCGACGACGACGACGACGACGACGACGACGACGACGACTCGTCGTCGCCGTTGCTCTCGTCGTCGTCGCCGGCGGCGTCGTCGTCGGCGGCGGCGTCGACGCCTCCGCTGCGCCGGGCCGCAGCCGCGGGGGCCGCGGCCGCCGCAGGCGAGGGCGGCGGCGCCCGCGGCGCGGGCCGCCCACCCCCGCGGCGGTCCGGGGCCCCCGCGGGGGCGGGGCCGCCGCGGGAGGGCCGGGCCTTCGGGTCGGGCGTGTCGCCCTGCCACGGGGGCTTTTGGGCGGAGCATTACAGAGTAGATTCGAACACGAGGGATCGAAAATGGTCGAATCATACATACACCAAAATTATCCCGGCAAAGCAACCTAACAGCGATGTGTAGAAGCATATCTGGAAGCATTGCCCTTGAGATTCATGTAGGAAGCCTGTTGTAGAATTCTGGTGTAATCGCAGTCGCAGTCGCAGTCGCAGTCGCAATGGCAGTTGCAGCGGCAACGGCAGTCGCAGTCGCAGCCTCAGCCTGCCTCAGCCTCAGCCTGCCTCAGCCTCAGCCTCAGCCTGCCTCAGCCTCAGCCTCAGCCTCAGCCTCAGCCTCAGCGGTGCATTCCCTATAGTCACTGGCGGCGCTGGGGGCCTCAGCCTCAGCCTCAGTGGTGCGTTCCCCATAGTCACTGGCGGCGCTGGGGGCCTCAGCCTCAGCCTCAGTGGTGCGTTCCCCATAGTCACTGGCGGCGCTGGGGGCCTCAGCCTCAGCCTCAGTAGTGCATTCCCTATAGTCACTGGCGGCGCTGGGGGCCTCAGCCTCAGCCTCAGTGGTGCGTTCCCCATAGTCACTGGCGGATCCGCGGATTCTCCCCGGATCCTGCCCGGACCCCCCTGGAGAGTCATGATGTTTTCTTTTGAGACCATTAGAAACCTATCAGGTCTTTGCTGTTAGGTAAAAAGCAGCGTCCCATATATATATATATATATATATATATATATATATATATATATATATCTTAAAGGGTGAACATAAAAAACAAGGCATCGCACTTAAGCAATGTGGTGACTATGTTTGAACATTCCTCCTGCAGAGGGACAGGCCCGACTTAGGCCTGGCCGAAATATGATCCCCCAAAAGGAAATGTTGGACAGCACATTAAAAGTAACACGCCAACACATTGTCACGGCATTACTAAAGACATCGTCCCCTGGCTATTTTTGCCAATGATTAAACATAGTTTACGATGTTGGACGTAGTTGTTTATATATATACTAGTGTGGACCCGTGGATTAAATCCACGGGGTTGCGCCGTCGCAGTCGTCGGTGCCGTTCCTCCTCCTCCAACTCCTTCTCTTCCTCCTCTTCCTCCTCTTCCTCCTCCTCCTCCTCCTCCTCCTCCTCCTCCTCCTCCTCCTCCTCCTCCTCCTCCTCCTCCTCCTCCTCCCCCCCTGCGGCCGTCTGAGGACCCTCCTGGGCCGTCGTGTTGCTCTCTTGGGTCGTCAGAGTGCCGTCGTGGCGGCGGCTGGGGTCGTCTTGGATCGATTAGTGGGGCCTTTGGGCCTCTCTTGGGCCGCGTTGGGGCGGTCTTGAAGGCGTCTGAGGCCGTCGTGGAGCGTTGGAAGGCCGAACAGTCGTACATGCCCAAAATGAACGGTGTTCCAAGTGAACGTGACGATTTTGGCCTCCTGGGGCTCTGTGCGGAAAGCTTTGGGAGCCGTTTCAGGGGATCTTGGGGGTCTCTTGGACCGTGGTGGAGGCCTCCGAGGAGCTCTGGCGCCGTTTCGGGCGTCTCGAGGTGTCTTGCGGTTCCATTTCAGGACGCCTTGGAGGCTCCTGGAGGCTCGGAGAGGCGTCGTGGGGCTCTCTTGGGCCGTCGTGGGAGCCTCTTGGAGCTCTCCCGGGCTGTCTTGCGGCGGTCTAGGAAGCGTATTGGGGTGTCTTGGAGGCTCGGGAAGCGGAAAATTCGTACATGCCAAAAATGTACGTTTTCCCAATGGAATTTGGCGATGTTGGCCTCCTGGGGCTCTGTGCAGACGGCCTGGGGGGCCGTCTCAGGGGATCTTGGCGGTCTCTTGGACCGTGGTCGGGGCCTCTGAGGCAGTCTGGCGCCGTGTCGGGGCTCTCTGGGTGCCTTCCGGAACCATTTCTGGGTTCTGGGGACGCCCCCGGAGGGTCGTGGAGCCGTCTTGGAGCGCTCTCGGGCCGTCGTGGGAGCCTCTTGGAGTCCTGTTGGGCCGTCTTTGGGCGGTCTATGAAGCGTCTGGGGCCGTCGTGGAGCATCTGGATGCGAAAACTCGTACATGCCCAAAATGCACGTTTCCAAAGGAAAATTGACGATGTTGGCTTCCTGGGGTTCTGTGCGGAAGGTTTGGGGGCCGTCTTACGGGATCTTGGAGGTCTCTTGGGCAGTGTTTGCGGTCTTTCAGAAACTCCGGCGCCGTTTCGGGCCTCTGCGGGCGTCTTGAACAGCCGTTTCATGGCCTCTGGGATGCCCTCGTGGACCGTCGTGGGAGCCTCTTCGAGTTCTGTTGGGCCGTCTTGGGGCGGTCTGTGAAGCGTCTTGGGCCGTCGTGGAGCGTCGGGATGCGAGAACTCGTACATGGCCAAAATGTACGTTTCCCCAACGGAATTTGACGATTGTGGCTTCCTTGGGCTTTGTGCGGAAGGCTTTGGGGGCCGTTTCACGGGATCTTGGAAGTCTCTAGGGCTGTGTTCGTGGTATGTCAGAAACTCCGGCGTCGTTTCGGGCCTCTGCGGGTGTCTCCCGGAGCCGTGTCAGGGCCCCTGGGATGCCCTCTTGGGCCGTCGTGGGAGCCTCTTGGAGTCCTGTTTGGCCGTCTTGGGGCGGTCTATGAAGCGTCTTGGGCCGTCGTGGAGCTTTGGGATTTGAAAACTCGTACATGCCAAAAATGTATGTTTTCCCTGAGGAAATTTGACAATTTTGGCTTCCTTGGGCTCTGTGCGGAAGGCTTTGAGGGCCGTCTTACGGGATCTTGGAGGTCTCTTGGGCCGTGTTGGGGGTCTCTCAGGAGCTCCGGCGCCGTTTCGGGCCTCTCCGGGTGTCTTCCGGAGCCGTTTCGGGGCGCCTGGGAGGCCCTCTGGGGCCGTCGTGGGAGCCTCTTGGAGTCCTGTTTGGCCGTCTTGGGGCGGTCTATGAAGCGTCTTTGGCCGTCGTGAAGCATCGGGATTTGAAAAATCGTACAAGGCCAAAATGTACGTTTTCCCTGAGGAATTTGACGATTTTGGCTTCCCGGGGCTCTGTGCAGAAGGCTTTGGGGGCCGTCTTACGGGATCTTGGAGGTCTCTTGGGCCGTGTTGGGGGACTCTCAGGAACTCCTGCACCGGTTGGGGCTTTCCGGGTGTCTTCCGGAGCCGTTTCAGGGCCCCCGGGAGGCTCCGGGAGGCTCGGGGAGCTGGGGGCCCACGCAAACCCACAAAGCATCTACGGATTTATTTGAGTGGATGTATCTCGCCAATGGTCAAACTAATACCAAAACACATCGTCCCAAGGCTACTGCAGGTTCGTGCCGTGTCGACCCTGGCGTTGGTTCCTGACACCGCGCTGGATCGTTCAACCTTGAACGATCGGCCGTCTCCGCAAAGTCCGATCGTTCAACATCGACCGATTCTGGGCCGCCGTCGGCGTTCAACGTTGAACGTCGGCGGCGGGGTCGCCGCCGGTCGACACGACGCGAACCTACCGTATTTTCTTGCTATGTTTGCATATTCCTCCTGCGGAGGGGACAGGCCCGACTTCAGCCTGGCCGCCTGGCGCGGCGCGGCGCGCGGGGCGGCGCGCCGCCGCCGGGGCCGCCGAGGGGCCCATTTGCCGGCGCGGCGCGCGGCGGGGGGCCTCTCCGGCGTGGAAGCGCCGTCGATGCTGGCGTGCCACAGGACGACGACGACGACGAAACGACGACGACGACGACGACGACGACGACGACAAAACGACGACAAAACGACGACGACGACAAAACGACGACGACGACGACGACGGCGACAAAACGACGACGACGATGACAAAACGACGACGAACACAAAGCGACAAAGCGACGACGACGACGACGACGACAAAGCGACGACGACGACGGTGACGACGGCGGCGTCAGGCCCCTGCTGTGCGCACAGGGGGGGGGTACACAGGAGGGAGAGGGGAGGGGCAGCGGCGGCGTGCCACAGAGTGCCTCTCGCGGGTCTCCGTGAGGCGGCCGGGCCGCCCGAGCCGCAGGCCCCCGTCGGCTTTTTCGCGAGTCTGGAGCTCTCTGGATGCCAAGGAAAAAGGAAAGGGAGGAGGAGGAGGAGAAGGAGGAGGAGGAGGAGGAGGAGGAGGAGAAGGGGAGGAGGAGGATGAAGGGGAGGAGGGGAACACGGAGGAGGATTGCTGAGACCAACCACCGGGAGGATGTCTCTGGTGACGTGGCCGAGTGCCTGCCTCATGCTGGTCCGTCGTTGCAGTCGTTAGGTTCAGCTGATGTAGACACGAGGCGGCCAGTGAAAAACTGCAGAAAGTTTTGGAAAAACTCTACACATGACCTTTGATTGGCCTTGAAGAGCATCCGAGAGGCCCCACGCCGCAAAGACCTTGAGATGCCTGAAGCCTCGTTGGCTAGCATGCGAAGTCACGAGACTCAAGAATAGCAAACAGCCTTGCCTGACCTTCCCAGGCCCCCGCTGAGAGAAGGCGGCCAGGTCGCACTCCCTGAACGCCTCTGGAGACGCCGCCGAAGGCCTCGCAGGCATGAAAGGGCCGCCAGCCGCGAACTCAACGCAACAGATGAAGACAGCAACAAATGTGATATAATACATGGATCAGAGACTGGAGCTTTCTTGCCCTGTGGGGCGCTTCAGAACCAGCGGAGGCGAGGGAGAAGGACGACGACTGCGGCGACGACGACGACGAAAACATCGACGACGACGACGACAACAATAAATACGAACCTACCTTGATTGAACGGCCGTCTGGCAAGATAGTGAAGATGGGCATGTGGTGCCATTCTAAAGCTGAGGACGGCAGTACAAAACCAGACAGTCTGCCGAGAAACAGTTCAGCTACAATGAAGACGACTATAATACCCTCAGATGTATCACTCCCTCTCGCGCTGTTGACTTGAACAGCAAGGACAAAAGGCGACTGATAGCGACTTGAGCATAGTCGACCTACTGCAGCTTGGCTTCTGCGAAGCGCAAGAATCACTGTACGAGGGGCAGGGCTCAACCCCATCAACAATCCGAATACAAAATAACCCCAGTGTGCCAAAGACACCTCTGGAGCGGCGCCAGGTGCCCAGAGAACTGAGGGCACGACGTAGTTCT